GCTGTGACTTCACCCCGTTCTCAGATAGATATTCATTTTGAGATTGATTACAATACCTCCCATCAAAGCAGAGGAAAGGTATGTTCACTTTGCATTCAAACAACATAAATTTACGGTCATACATTTTACATCTATATGCCACTGCCTTCCTAGTATACGCACATGTGAATTAAGGAATCGTAGAACATAGGCACTGAAAGAAATAATGAGTTGGCTTTGTGAAGAGGCTAGGAAATGAAAAGAAAAATACAAAGAGGGATTATTGAAAATAATTAAGAAAAAAGCCCTCTAGAGTCATCAGAGTCCTGCTGATCTGTGGGTGAAGCACCGGACAGTCACCTACAGCAAAGCTGGCGGTTAAAACCCACCAGCCATTCAGCCCGAGAAAGACTCAGGTTGTCATTTCCTATGACGGCGTTCAGTTTTAAAAACCCTGTGTAGGATGACTAGGAGTCGGAACTTGATGGCAGTGAGCTCTGGAACAGAGCAGTCACTCATTTCATACAGGATGGCTAGAAATCCCACCGGTCTAATATACATGGTCCTCCATAAAAGTTAGCATAGTTTTATCTTCCCCTATTCAATCGAGGTACTTACGAACATAAATATTCACACCACAGTGTTTTTCCGGAGGGGTTGGTTCTCTGTGAAGTGCTTTCTTGGCTCTGTATATATAGCTATAGGGACATCATAGTCTTTCAGAATAAAATTTTAAGAGCAGTTTGAAAATCGTGAATTCAGGTTCTGCAGATGACATCATCAACAATTTTCCCTCCTGGAGCATGTAATTTGGAGCATAGACTTGGAGCTGCTTTTATCTACATCTTTAAATTAAGACTATATCATTAAAAGGAATAAGAAAAGAATATAAAGTAGCCATTCTTATAGGTGTACTCTTCCAAAGGATTGATGCTGACCACAAGGTTAGTGGTTCAAGCTCTCCAGTTGATCCTTGAGATAAAAACAAGGCTCTCTGCTCTTGTAAAGATTTATAGCCCTAGAAACGCTGTGGCAGTGCCTTTGCTTTTTGTTTTTTAATCAAGACAAAGAGGAGTCCTAGTGGTGTAGTGGGTTGGTAACTTCAAGGGCAATGGTTCAAACCCACCAGTGGAAAGAAAGATAAGGCAATCTTTTCATTTTAAACTGTAGCATTTTGGTGACTCTATGAAGCAGTTAGAAAGGTTAGAGGTTCAAGACCTTCTTGAGGCCCTTCAGAAGAAAGCGCTCACAATCTACTTCTAAAAAGCAACCATGGAAAATTCTGTGGACACGGTTCTACTCTGACACACATGGCATTGCCTTGAGTCAGAACCAACTCCGAGACAATTGTTGTTGTACTGCTTTGTTTTCTCCAGGCAAAAGTCAAAGAGATTTTAAAATGTGTGTGAGTTGTTGCTCTGAACACCTTCAACCAATTCACAATAAACGGTTGGAATAACAAAAAGGGAAATCTACAGGTTTTTTTCTTTCAGGAACTAGAATAAAAGAATAAGTTCTGGCCCAAGGGGCAAGATGTCATAACTAAATTTTCTCTCAACTTACCCAAATTCCACGGGATTCAATATTAGCAGCTCTTTCTCAATTTCTATAAACAAATGTGTGATGTCCAGAGAAAACATTTTCCATGGAACAGAGAACTATCTTTTCAGCCAAACATAATCTTCTATCTACCCACATCCTCCTCCCTCTATCACCCACCTACAGCACCTTGGGCAGTGGGGTGGGATGAGGCATCTAGAGCTACACTTGGCTGGAGGTGGAAGAGTCCTCCATACACCTGGCCCCTGGATTGCTGGCGTGGAGTTCTTGGTCAGGCTCTACCAATTTCTTTCTAAATAATCTAACTTCTAAAGTCTAGGTTCCTTAAACTGAGTCAATGTGCTCATTGGCATTTTTAGAAATTCCATACCACAAATATTTTATAGCACTTCTTATTCACTAGAAACGACTGTGAGAAAGCTTACTAAACAAATCCTACTCAAAGAAGCAGTCGTCTGAATACCCTGAACAAACAAAATGGTGGAGGAAGTTCTTCCTGTGGTCGAAGAGGTTATGAAGAGAAAAGAGTAAAGTCTCTGAACATTCAAAGGTAGTAGAGAGGTAGATTTAAGTATCTTTTTAGTAGTCAAAGAATATTTATGTTTTGTGACAGGGATACCGACTGAAATTTAAATATGATTGTCCAGACTAATTTTGTGCCTACTATTCTATTATTTGAAAACATATAATGCATTTTCTAATGACATATCTTTTTTTACTGTTGATCATCCTCCCCTGTCCAAGCAGCTTTCAAATTGCCTGATAAAATAAACTCTCCAATAAGTCAGCATTGTGACTGGAAAGCAGGAAGCAGGAAGCTTGATCTATGGGTAAATGAGGGTCTGCCATAATTTCTGTACATATTAAAACTGTCTCAGGATGATGAGATCCCTCGTACTTGGGAGAATTGCAGCAGGTCGTCACAGGGGTAAAGCTTGGAAAGGAAGGAGCGTGAAGCCAAGGGTAGGTTTGCTTTGCTTGAAAGAAAACATATATACTCTATTTCTTCTGAAATCCTCTGTATAAATCTAAGCACATTGTGCCAGGAAGATGGTTATCTAAGGAAAGAGATGATGAATGCTTCTGTGGGAAGAATAATCATTTTATGATAAAACAAATCACTTTTCAGTTTATGGTCTTTGTAATGTCTTTTTTTTTAAATCCCTTAGTTCTCATAGATTAAATTTTCTTAAAGTAAAAGCACAGTTATATCTGATATTAATGTAAATAAACTAGGAGTCTGAGTTGTATGTTAAAGTTTAGCAGGAGATTTATCTCAGGCAATACTTGTGACATTAAATGTGAATAATTTTTCTTTAATGATATCACATTTGCCCGAGTTTCATTTAAATGAAGAAAACACTTTATTGTCTCTGGAAGTTAAGAAAAACAAAAACACTTCCTAGCAACCTCTTTTGAGACCTCTTTTCTGTGAAGGATTGTCTGGGTTTTCTTAGTTTCATTTAAAAAGTGCAAGGAAATATCCGTTTTGTAATGTAATATGGGAGTTTTGATAATTCAATGGTTAAACACTCGATGACTAATGGAAAGGTCAGTGGTTCAAGCCCATGAAGGGCTCTTATGGTACAAAGATGAGGCTGTGTGCTTCTGTAATGATACAGCCTTGAAAACCCTGAGAGGCAGTTCTACCCTGCCTTACAGTGAGTTGAAGCAGACTAGAGGACCATGGATTTTCTTGGGGGATTTTCTAATGTAATACTAGGAGCCAGGATCCACAAATGGCTAAGCATTAAGCTGGTAACTGAGCAGTTGGCAGTTAGTCCATCTGCTTCCACCTACAGGACAGTTCGACTCTGTCACATGGGGGCAGTAGGATTCAAAAGGGGCTCCAGCAACAATGTAACATCACAGATGTGTCAACCCACTACCCACTGCCGGCCATTCAAACCCTCCTCATAGTAGAATCACCACTGAAAAGTGTATAGAAGTTTGTCATTCATTTTATTTAAAACTTTAATTTAGAATCATTTGAGATTTTCAAAAAGGTTGCAAGCAAGTACAGAGAGTTCCCATACACACTTTCCCCAGGGTCCCCCACATGGCCACAGTACATTTTAACACCAAGAACCTTTGCAGAAGATTATTAACTGTACTTCAGATTTTACCAATGTCCCCCCAATGCCACTTTTCTGTTCCTAAATCAAATCTAAGCTACCACATTGCATTGAGGCATTATGTCTCTGGTTTTCAGCGCTGTGTTTTTCATCCTTTGTTCATGACCTTGAAGTGTTTAAGGACCGATGGTGAGGTGTTTTGTAGTGTGTCCAATGTGGTTCGGTTTGATGATTTCTCCTGGGGAAAGTGGGATTAAGGATTTAGGGGAAGATCCACAGACTAAAGGAGTCCTGATGGCATCGTATTATGGTAAACTAATAACAACAGCAACAATCAGCACCATGAGGTCCATTCGGAATCAAATGGGCCCACAGAACAATAGTGGAACTGCCCTTGTGAGTTTCTGAGGTGATACTTCTTAATAGGAACAGAAAGCCTCATCTTACTCCTGAAGAGCTCTGGTAGGTTTGAAATACTGACCTGAAGGCTAGTAGTCCAACATATAACCCAGGGCACGACCAAGACTCCTATTAGATCAGGGTACATGGCATTAGTAACGCTTATCAGTAGAGATGAAAATTTTGCTTACCACGCAAAAGTGTATCTACCGGGATTCTCAAAGGAAAAGTTACCTTCCCTTAGCCTTTCTCAGGAATGAAATGAAGCTTCTAGTCTTCATGATGAAAAGTATCTACATATATTATTTGTATTTTTATGAGGATGATTTATAATATCACTATCATTTATTTGTATGAGCTTGGATTCATGGATGATTTATTTTATTATTTGGATTAAAATCTTATGTTATCATGAAATTTTTTTTGCTCAATTTGTTCCACCTTTAATCATTAGGAACTCTAAATGAGTTTCTATTGTATACCTTTGGCATATCTTATTAATGCATTTCTTTTCCAAAGGGCCTCACTTTATTTTGTCATTAAAAGTATTTAGCTATCAGACATTTTCCCCAAAAAAAAAGACAATGAGTAATGGAGTTGCTCTGACCTTGAAAGAACTGCAGATTGTATTATTAATAACGCATTTCAAGGAAGTTTAGCATTGTGACATCAAATTTTTCGCAGAAAATTTGTTTAGAAAAATGAGCAATACCATAGACATATTAAAAACATTAAATATAACATTTATGCATATATATAATTATGTAACATGGGTATATGATACTCAGTTACATTAAGCTTTAACCACTTCCAGCTGTTCACATAAGTTTAAAGAACTTTATACACCAAAGATAACCTTTAGGAAGCATTCTGTGCCTTAGATCAGTTTAATTCATAACTTTGTGCGAAAGTCTGCTCACCATAAGTTCTAATTGCACTTGCTTCTTCCATACTCTAGGCAACTTGAGGAAATAAATACCTACTTACCATTTGAGGACAGATCCTGGGCAGCACAGAGACAGCTGTTATAGTACTTCACTGTGTAATCAAGTCCTTGAGTTATTACATTCTAAACCTGTCAAAAAAGGGTGAAAGGGAGAGAGAAAAAATATATATATTTAGTTAAATATGCTATTGTTTACTATGTACACAGCTAAAGTAACCAAAATAAAATTAAGAGAAATCTTGCATCTTATAAGCATAAATCTTTTCGTATGCATTAATGCATTCTTTTCATCTATCAAATTTGATATTTAAAATGTTATTGAGAAACAAGCTATTAAAATATAAAATGGCAAACTACTTCCAAAGAATAACTGTTGTCATTAAAATGCTAAGAAAATGAAGCTAAGATATCTTGATATCTTGCCAACTAACTATATTTCATGGTTTTGATTTTCATAAGCTCTCCTCTTATTTAGTTGTATCTACAGAGTGAAATACAGAAACAAGAAAATTATAAAATTGCCTGAATGTCTACCATTATGTCAGTGCTTAGCAGAATAAAGACCACGTATTTATACAGTTAGTCCAAACATTTCATTTCAGTGTGATACATGCCAGTCAAAATAGACAATGGGGCATGCATGGAAGCAAGTGCTTTCAGACTTTATGAAGTTATTTATTCTAACATAAGTACAAATAAATAAAATAAGAAAGGACCAGAATTAAAAATAAAAGTGGGAAGCTGATCCACTGCTTTCATCATTCTAATCAAGTACCTATGAGAGAAAGTTTTATATACATATATACATAGCTACAAAATAATAAAAACATGTATTAAACAAAACTACTGAACTGTGAAGTCGTCGTTTCCCTCTAAGGCGCATACATTTTTGAAAGCAGTATCTCCCTGCCTTTTGTCCTTCCCTGAAGAATTCTGCACATGTCCATTTACATCAGCACTTGGAACCTCCTTAAGGGAGACAAATCTTGTTCCTTTTACATTTTCTTTGAGTTCTGGAATCAGAAGAAGCTTCCTGGGGCAGGACTGGTGGTGTAGGGTGAATGGGGTCTGCGTTGTCAATGAAAAGCTCCCAGGACCGCCCTTGCTACCCGGGAAGAATGAGCAGATGCAGTGATGGAAACAAATTTCTCAGGCTCAATTTTCCTGGCCTTTTTCTCCTCAGCACAGTTTTCGATTTTCTTAAAACTTCTTCATAATAAGCCCTCATGATCATACTGTACCTTGCAGAAAAATATATCCAAATTGCCCCGTTAGAGTTCTCTCTACCTTTAAAATGTGTTTATAATTTTCTGAGCTGACTTCTGAGCCTTAAATCGAACTCGCTCAGCTTATCTCCTTGGATGTCACTGGTTTGATTAGAAGCCATTTTTTAAGGTACTCCAAGGATATTAAGACATATGTATTATTGAGATAGCTTGTCCACAGGTATCCACTCACCACAGATAAATTTAAACATATTTCACTTAAAATAAGCGCATGCATGTATGAACTGAAATCCTAAAAGCAATGGCTTACTCTCATATATGTTCAAGCTACAGAATAAGGTAACATAAAACTTCTTTTTAAAAAGTGGCTTCTGACACATGGTGACTCCATGTGTACAGGACAGAACTGCCTCATAAACTTTTCAAAGTTTATATTTACTTGGAAGTATATGACTAGACCAGTTTTCCTATGCAACTCTGGGTGCATTTGAACTACCAACCTTTTGGCTAGTAGCTATGCACATAATCATTTACACCGATCACAGATTTTTTAAAATAAAGAATCTTCAATAAAGAGTGGACTCGGATTTTTCTTTAATTTCGTGCCCTCCAAAACTATGCCATATAGATTTACTATCTGTCATTCTTTTCTGCTGTAGACTAGATACAATTACTTTCTCAGACTTGTAACTTACCAAAGGAATTACAGATAAATAGGTTTTTAGTTATTAAGTGCTCACGTGTGCATGGCAGACACACACACACACAAACACTATACGAACTGTTCTCATTCTATGTCCCTTAAACTACCTTATTTTTACCCAATAGACTTAGTAAGCTCTAAGTCATATTTTTTTCTGAATTTGCACAGAACTTTGGCTTATGCCCAAAAGGACATAATTTCTGTTATTTCCCTAAAGTAGTATTTCTCGGTTCTTGTTATTATTAATATTATTTTGGGTCTTCATCAAATATTATATTCAAATGGATTTAAAGATAATCAAAATATAGATAACTGAGGATTTCTTTTTCATCTCCAAAAAGTATGACATAGTGGGTGAATAGTTTTGTCTATATTTTATAACATCTATTTAGTGTGTTTTTTAAGTGTGTTTGAATCATGTCCTGGTGGTGGTGTGGGGTAAAGACTAGACTGCTCAACATATTGCTAACTGCAAGGTCAGCAGTTCAAACACACCATCTTCATTGTGGGAAAAAGCTGAAGTTACCTTGTTTCTGTAATAATGACAGCCTCGGAAACCCTATATAGGTCTAGGATCGTTATGAGTACGAATCCATTTAATGGCAGTGGAATTGTATTGCAGGGGGTGGGTGGTGATTATCATTTAATTATAACAATACGGTGGATTGGGTCGTCTTATCCTCACTTTACAGGGTTCAGATAATTCCACCAGCCCATGCAAATTGCAGCACCGTACAGTTTAATAGCCAGGGGTTAAATCAGACCAAGCTCCAAAATATCTATTGTCCTAAATAAATCAAATGATTATGAGAATTACTGGATATGACATATAAAATGTACTGATGATAATCCATGCCATAAATGATCTAAGTACTTAATAACAAGAAAAACAGAGAAGAGGAATTTACAACTATAGTGATTGGCTCCAGGCTCATATTTGAGTAAATGTTAATAGAGTTTGTGGTTTTAGTCTCTGTACCAAATGTCATTCTTGTTTTCATTATACCTACATTTACTATTCATCATCTGATTTGATGCTTTCAAAATCACATTGGCTGGGTAGACAGAAGAGTGGGTATTTTTGAATTCTATCTAAATGTCAATCAAATAATGTGGACTAGACAGTGGTCTGGGTTCTCTTATCTATTTGGCAACTCGGGTTTATTGGAATGTGTGTGTGTGTACATGACAAATACAAACGAAAAAATAAGAGGCATTGATTCTACCAGTTGAAATAGGCAGGACAGGTTCTCCCTTTTCCCACTCTTTCAAATTCATTTTAGATAACTTGTATGTGTAAATTCTTTCCAAGACGCTTTAAAAAGTATGTAAGGCAAGGTGTTAACACAAAGACCTGACAGCCATATGAGTAACTTCAGGCAATCTTTCCCTACTTGAAAATTTCCCAGAAGGACATCAGCATACTTTCACATGATCTGGGATCCAAATGAAAACTCTACCTCCAGTCATCAAGATAGTAGAAATTATTTTGAAAATATTGATGTAGTGGGTTGTAGCTATTCAACTGTATAAAAGTTAAGCTTTCATTCTGTTTTCACAGTCTCTTTAGTTGATTGCCTGTGATACATCACATTGTAGTTTAATACTTATTCAATAACAAAACTGGTTTTTGTTCCACCTTTGTGGAAAGGTTTTCAGGGTTGGAAGATTTTGCTTTTAATTCTATTTCCCCAACAGAGTATGTAAACCGATTTCCCAAACCGTGCTTATGATTTAATGGCTCAGCATGCTGAATAAATGGCACTCAGGTAATGGAGTTATTATTGAATTGTTGCTATTTCTTGAAAGAATTTTATTTGAATTTAATCATCTCTAACCGCCCCCCAGCCCTCCCCAGCAGAAGTAAGAAAGGAGCCCTTGTGGTGTAGCCGGTACCGTAGGTTGTGAGCTGCATCAGCAGCCACTCCAAGACTGGGCTTTTCCTCCCGTGACTGGGAGTTACTCTCAGTGCTCTGGTAACAGGGGCTTGCTAGGAGTCAGCATTGACTCAGTGGCAGTGAGTTCAGTTTGGGCTTTATAAGTAGGGAAGAACTCATTCTCTTCCATTCCAGTCCAACTATGATAATACATTTTCCTTGTTTCCTTTCCTACAATGCTTGTCTTTCCTCCTGCAGTAGGTGGGCATATCTACTCATTGCGGGTTGGAGATGAGACCTAGACAATGCCTGTCCTTTAAAGCAAAATGTGGTGAATGATTTAAAGACAGTCTATCTGAGAAGGAAAGGATGTCTCCACCCCTTCAGTTCCTACTAACTAGGTCAAGATCAGGATTGGTGTAATGGCCCATTATCTGATTGTTGAAAGGAAATAATTAGGTGGTTCACGAAAACTTTTTTTTAAACATTTCATCTTGATATTTGTGAGCAAACATAAATGACAATATCTGCATGAAATTTTATATGAAGGAATTTCCAATTATTCACAAAAAGGAAGGATGCCCTCTGCTTTTGTTAGATGGGAAAATGCGGGGGAAAAAATTGTAAGAAATAGCATGGCAGTGGAAGAAGGAAGTATGCGCCACACACTGCTTCTCCTCTCCTTCTTTCTGGAGACTAAACCTTTTAAGAGATAATCTTTGGAAACCCCTCGTTCAGTTCAGTGAATTCCCAGAATATCATGTTTGTGCCTAGAACGTTAGAAGGTGATTACTGTGCCCATGCCAACATGAGGTGACCCAATATTGTATGAAAGTTGCACGGTGTGAACAAGTCCAAGTCTCCCTTGGCTATTATGAGTTGAATGCAAATAGATGTAGGAAATACTCACCTTTAGCTAGGGTTGGAAGAAAGTACCAGAAACGCAGTGGAACCTGAACAGCAAGATCCAAGGCAGGCTGAATTTGCAAGGCCACGAAGCAGAGGCAAAACTCAGAAAGAACTGATTGTGGGCATTGAACAGCCACAGACCTAAGCAACAGAGTGGCGCATAATGAGTCACAAAGAGTTCCAACTCAGGGTAGCCTTGCCACGAAAAGCCTATCTCATGATGGAGGAAGACCACAGCTGTATCTTCAAGTGCAATGACGAGTTTTACAAGGAGAACAATGGTTCAGTGCAAAGACCCAGGAAAGAATGGAAGGTTTTGGTTTGGCCAGGGGTGTGAAATGATCTTTTTAAAGTGTTAAAGCTGCACTTCAAATGCTGTTAAGAGTAGAAGGGTGAACTTGGAACTAGAAGCCA